CTTCAGGGGACATTACATTGATTTACATGCATTTCCTGGAGACTTATCCTAACATTAACCATAACCAACACATGCCTAACTCTAACCCTTAACCTAACCCTTAACCTACTGTAACCCTAACCAAGTCTTCACCCTAAAATTAATGATTCCCCTCATGACCTCCATTTTGTCCCCATAAGCGAGGCGAGTCCCTATACGTGACTGTGTAAACAGATTTAGGTCCCCACAAGTATAGTAATGCTAGGCCACACACACACACACACACACACACACACACACACACACACACACACACACACACACCACACACACACACACACACACACACACACACACACACAACACACACACACACACACACACACCACACACACACACACACACACACACACACACACACCACACACCACACACACACACACACAGGGTTGGAAAAGGTTATTTTAAATGTATTTTGGTCAGTGTAACTAATTACCTGTTAACACAATGTTTCACAACACAAAAGTAATGTAATCTGGTTACTTTTGTAACACCTCAATATCAAATGCAATGCAAATAAATAGCAGAAAAAAATATGAGATCTTTTTTGTAAGTGTATTATGTAAAGCAACAACATGTATGCACATGTATATTATTATAAAATGTATTGTAACATTGTAATACTTCTAAAGGTACCAGTAATCTGATAACGTCTAGGGCACACACACTGAGGAAACTCATCAGGAAATGTAAAAGGCTGGGACAGCACACTCCTCGCTGGTGGATTTCTCCTTTCAGCTTCAAATCAGATGACAAAGAATAGGCATCGCTTAATCTGTCATCCCACTTGAGGTGCAGTAAAAACTATAAATCCCTCCCTGATCCTCGGCTGCCAGGATATTTTGACATTACACCGGATTTCTGAAAAGGCCAACTCTGGGGATATAAAGATGATGGACAGCACGGGGAGCTCTAACTGGGATAGATGTGTCGCTCCCACTGAGCTCACATTGCACACACACTTATTAGAGGCCATATCTTCCACGCCCCTCACACATTTGCTTATAAATAACGGGAAATAATGTACATTATCTGTATCTACAAAGTGCTCTTTGGTCGCGTCACATTCTGTGTTATATATCTGAACTTTGGGTGATTTATACACACAGTCTGGAGCCAGGGCCGTATCCAGGATTTCCTAAATACCGAGGTCCAAACATGCTAGGGGGGTTCGGGGGATACCCCCCGAGATTTTTGGGATTTTCATGATCTAGTTAGGTGCTTTTTAAGTCCTATGGGGGGTCCCAAATTGGATAATATATCGATTTCAAACCATGTCAGTGGGCTGACAATGTCAGCATCAATTATTTTTGAAAGTGTAATACATAAGAATCAGCTGATTGTTACTATTAATGATCTGGACATGCAGAAGAGGCTAAAATGATCACAAAACATTGTCAACATTCATTTTCCATGTCTCTCTCCTTTCCATAACCTGCAGCCTTTCTCCCATCTTCTTTACTCTCTCTGTCCTCTACTCTTTCTCTTTGTTCAACCTCTCCCTCGTTGTTCACTTTTTGCTCCTCTTCACTTGTCGCTCCTGCCAGTGAATTAAAAGCAATTCAGCAATTTAGTTCATTTCACTCGTTTGTTTGCATTCTTTTTTTAATTTAAATCTGTTTTGTTTGATTCTCAAAAGAGAACAAAGATGTAAGCAAATTGTGTTTTATACAATTGTATGTTATTATGACATCATAACTGCAATAGATGTATGTTTTAAAATTATACCTATTGTAAATGAAGAGTATTGTTATAGATACATAGATAGATAAATAGATAGATAAATAAATAGATGGTCTTATTAAGCCTACATTATTTTGTGTGACTCCAGTTCCTCCCTGATTTCCATCACTTTCTCTCCCTCTCTCTCTCTATTTCTCTCTGCCTGTCCTGTCTCTCTCTTACCAAATCTGAGCTTCGACTGACGTAGTCTTTTCATTATATCTGAGTCAGTGTAAAAAGAAAATACAATGTTATATCTTCAATGTTTTACTCAAATTGAAATGAAAGAAAAGCATTACAACGTTTGTTGAAAGGTAATCCTTCTGACATTGGATGAATGTAATTAACTGTAGCTCTCTAGCTAGTTTATTCACGCAATGTAAACCAAAGTATAGCCTATATCTGCAATATAAGTTAGTGTGCATGTTGTCGGACGTCCACTGACTAACAGAGCGTTCACACAGGATCTGCTGCTCATATGATGTCCTGATGAACAGAAACACAAGCAGCCCGCTGGACTCAGATCTCTAGATACCTCATCACTCCTCTGCTGCTCCGGTACAAGTCCGGTCTGCGGTGGTTTGTTGATACATGTCGTCTTCTTCTGTTTGCTTTAATCGAGGCTACGTAGTTATGCAGCGCCCCCATGGTCAGTAAATGGAAGTACTACAAAGAACCCCGTTTAGTGCAATTATTTCACAAGTTTTGTCACACAGCTCGGAAAATATTACCGAGGTCCGGACCTTGGTGACCTCAATGGTAGATACGGCCATGTCTGGAGCCACTGAGGTGTGCTTCCCTGCATGTCCACCTCAACCCCCCCACACACTTGCCTCCCATTGCTTTCAAGAAGCCATTAAACATCGCTCAGAGACACGCTGCTGTCTGGACTAATGTAGTGTTTCACAATCCCGCTCTGATGAAAACCTTTCAAAACCCTGTTGGGTAAATGGATGAAGTTATAGTGCAGTATATTTGGGAAATTGAAGCATTTTTGGACAAAGGCAATAAATCAGACAGGGGCGTATTTTAGATGTGACGTGCAGACCTTCTCCCTTATGGCAGGTCCAATCAAAACCTGGTACAATATACTGGCAGACATCTGCAAACAACAAAGGAAGTCAGGTGACATCACATCCAGGGGCTTCAAACTAGGGAATAGTGACCTATCCATATGGTGAAGACACCTAGACGCTAGGATGCATCAACCTCATTGTGAAACAAGTCGAATCTGAACCACATTGTCCACAAACAATAAGTTCCGGATCTTCAAAGACATCTAGGCACTCAAAAAAAAGAGTGCCTTCAGGACAGGAAACAGGAAGGGACTCAACAAATTCAGAGAGCGCTTAGTAGCAAGACATCTAGGAAATAGGGAGACAGAATACAGCAGAACAACTAAGGGAGTGTGGAGTATCACTGTACTCTACCTCCAGTTAACGGAGACCCTAAAGAGACTCTGCAATATTGACCGATCCCAAGAAATTATTTTATTGAAATGCCAATGACACCCTGTTCTCTTGAGGACAGACATGCTACTTTGACCCTTTTTCACAATAAACCAAGTAACCACTCTTATATTGGACAAATCCCAGTTTGGACAATTGGGACAAACCCAAAGCAAAAAAGCAAAGCAAGTAAATGGCAGGAAGCACCCCTGAACGCACCATGAAGTAAAAATAAGGCTGATTTATGACAGTACAGACCCTATTTACTTATTTATAGTTTCAACTACATTGGTCACTGTAGAAGATAAATCAAAACAAGTACAATTTGTAATGTACATAAAGGAGTGCTGTTTACTGATTAATGCTCTGGCTCGAGTACAATGGCTTATTTTTTGGAGGAACTGAATCATTGGAGAAAAGCCACTATGTGCACCGACACAGGATTGTGACATTATCCCTCGCCTACACTTTTTAATCTACCCCGTACTCCAGAGCTCAGACTAAATTTAGCACGGAGCTGTCAAAGATCTCAGACACACGCCTTAATGTGTCCCACTGTCCTCACACTGTCCTAAAACAGCCCGACACTTCCCCCCCAGGTGATGTTCAACATTGTGCTTTTCATATGACACACAAAGTCTTGTTCATGCAACCGCTGCAGGACGTAGGTGGGTAAAGTGCTCCCCACACCCACTCCAAGTCACAAGTACTCTCTGGAACAGGTGAGTGCAGAAAACAAGCCATTACGGAGGAGCCTTCAGCTGATAGCAATACAGGAGCAGGCTGTGCTTCTTTTTAGTGCTAACCTCCTTCGCTCTTGTTTAACAGCACTCTCATCAGTGATAGTACGAAGCAGACCCTGTGTGTCCTCTCCGTCTGACAGCCCAGTGATTACCCCACAGGCAAAATCAGGGATTTATCTGAAGGGCTCCCATGTAATTAGTGCACAGGGAAACAAGTTTGATTTCAGCATTATGTTAATCTCAAGGGGTTATGACTAGGGTTGTCACATTTCTCCAAAAACATGATTCTGATGACTTTTCATTTAAAGGGCACGGTCTGACTCAGCTTAAACCTTTTGTGTTTTTAGCACTGGCCATAATGAGACAGTGGAGTGTTGATTCCTGAATATCAGAAAACAATTTACACGCCCTGAAATATTATCTCTTCAAGAAAAGGGTCTTATTGTATCATTCAATTGGGTCAAATCGGCTGCACAATCTTTCAAAATTTGACACATATTATCTTCAAAGAACAACTTGTAATTCTCAAAACAGAAGATGGTGCAATTGCTAATCAAGCATTCTCAGCAACACCACTGTGAATAGTTTCAAATATTTAACTACCAATCAGTGATAAGAGGTTGTAGCAGAAGGGCCGGAACAACTGGCAGACTGAGGGGCAAAACTATCAACCCCCCTGGTTCTTGTCAGCGCCCATCTGCTATGGAAAACACAGCAGCAACATAGCATTGAATCTCCATATATTTTGCCCCAGGAGCCAGACAAGGTTTATATGGAACAATCCTGCTCCATGCTTACTAAGAACTACTCAACACTCAAAAAAGTTGCCCGGACCTTCTTTGACCCAAACTGCAGAAAATGTGCAAGTGTCAGATAAAACATAAGTAACAAGTAGCGTACAATTTCCTGTGGCTGGAAAATGACTTTTGGTAAAGTACAGCCTCGAAGTTCAAGGGAGCCCGGCAAGAGCAAGTATAGAACAAAATAGGAAGCCACGCAAAGACATACATGAAGAGGTAACAGATATAAGAAGACTCCGTTGGCTTACCGTCTTCCGTGGGGACGTAGATGTTCATGTAGAGGCAGTCCTCGCTCTGATCCTGCACGTAGGTCACCACTGTATCCAAGTTGGCGGTGAACCACACTGGGAGCATATCATTGAGCAAAAAGCGGTCCTCCAAGAACTGAGGACAAACCGGAGCAAACTGAGTAGCATTCCTGATGCCCGGCCAGGACATTGGCGGCTCGGGCGGCTGGAACCTCCGCTCCCCCGTCGGGGCCAGCGCGTACGGGATCCCCAAATACTGTTCCACTGGTCCCAGGATCTCATTGGGTAATGTAACCTTCACTCCCCGCAATTTCCCGTAATTTGTAGTGACCACGGGGGGCTGCTGGGCCTGAGCGGCGGCCCCACAGATGGACACCAGCCCCACCCATAGCAGGAAGTTGGCCCTGGCCGTGGAGCAACACATCCATGAAGGGCCTCCTGGCGGTGACATGCTCCTGCGGTGCTGAGCCGGAGCCTGGCAGGTCGTGGTTAAGGTCCACCGGAGGGTCCTCGTGCCCCCCCTTCCCCTCCACCGAGATGAACTCCTGATGCTCCTCAGGCTGCGAGCTGAGCAAAGGAGCCGCAGCCAATCAAAGCAGCTTCAGAGCTCCCCATCCTGAGAGCCTGCATGGAGACGGGCGGCTGCTGAACGACTCACCTGTCCGGGTCAGGAGAGGGCCTACGACGCTCTGTGGTAACCTTGGCTCCAGCTTGATGGGATATCCTGAAAAACACACAAAGAAAAGATAAAACCTACTGTATATTTTTTATCATGGTTGTCTATTTTTTATTTCCTGTTAATGTCATGACCAGCCACATAGCTTCTATATTCTCTGTTAACTCTTAGTCTTGTTAAAAGTTTTTTTTAAATTATTTTGTCTTGTGAGTTAAATGCCATAAAAGTTATCTTAATTCTCAAAATTCACTTATAAACTGACAATTCATTTGGTGGGTTTTAGAGAAATGTATTAATAAGTGGAGGCCTGCTGAGGTCTAGATGGGTTGACATAATTTGATGACTGTTATTTATTTTTCTCTCTGTGAGGGAGTTTTGGAAAGCCCCCAGAATTAGAAATCCCCTCTGTGGCCTTGGGCCGTCTCATGGTCTAATGGTGAAAACTAGATGGCAACTCATCCATTAAATCAATTTCCTGAATGAGCTCTGGACTCATTGGGCGCCCCAGGTCTGGAGACATCCTTCAAATATATATATTTTTAAATTTGAAGTGGTTTGGTTGAAGAAAGTCTCACACCTGACTGCTCCAATCAAAAGATGCTGGTTAATTAACCTTTCAGTCAAATAACACAGGATGCCACTCAAAGTCAAATCAATTATTGAATATCATGCTGACCAGCACTGACTCCTTTCTGATATCAAATATATATATGAAAAAGCAGCATGAATAAATGAGCGCAATTCTGCTAATAGAGCCAAAGTGCATGCCAATCTTTGCAAAGCAAAATGAACAGTTCTCCAGCTTGGATTAGTAATAGAGAACAGAGGATTTAAGTGGTTACTGACTACAGCTGCAGGGATCTGTCATGTAGGCCTGCCTGCCTGCGAACACATTAGCTCGAACAGGAGAATGGCTGTACAGACACCACTGAGAATCCACATTAACACAGGTGGCAGCATGAGATGGAGCCGGCAGAGATTATCACCGAATGAAGCAGAAAAAGGTTTATTATGTGTCAGGGTGTATTGGAAAGACGCCATCACAGACGGGCACTGATCATCCTGTGCAGGTTAAATTAAGTTGATATACACATGATAATAACCCAGAAGGGATATGAACATCTTGTGTTGTATCGCCCCTAAAAGCTTCATTCCCTGTGTGAATGTCTTTCACTTCCCAACACCATTTCAACGTTTGGACATGCGCAGTAGAATCTGCTTTCCAGATAAATCTCTGTCTGTTAACAATAATAAACAAAAACCTCAGAATAGCCCAAAAACATCAATACATACAAATGTAGGCCTACACAAAAACGGGATAATTATAAATAATAATGAATACATTAATTGAAATGAAATTCAAAGATTATACTAACTGTCTTGCCAACAATAATGTTGAATTGAATCACCCCTCAGGTTACCTACAATGTTTTTGTTAATTGGTTTAACCAAGCCTTTAAAACTAAATAGTTTTGTTTCTCTACCCTAAGGCAGAGTCAGCAGCTGTGTTGCCATGGTAACAATCAATGACACCTGCTGTCAAGTGGCACCGTATTCTTTCAATACTAACAAGCCCTTAAAAATATTTTTGGAGGAAACTAGTCTCTTAAATGTCTGCTACTGTTGATTTCATGTCTCATTTCTGAATATCCCCTGAAAGTCTTGAGAGGCCGGCTGCACTGTAAATTATACGGAAAGCAGCACAGGGCCACTCTGGGTTATCGCTCTATACACATGGATGACATCTTATTCACCTTAACAACCATAATAGCATTTTCGATATTTGGCTTTCGCACATATGTTTGACTACCGATGACTCAACTTTCACTGAGACGCAGAGGCTTTCACTGTTGGGGCAGGTCATCATACAGAAATCCATACTTTAGCTGATGTTTGCCGGGCTGGATTTACACTCACACAAAGACCGACACACATTTTTCTAAATGTGTAGACTGATAGAATGTTGGTTTTACTTTTAGGACTAACAGTAAGACCATATTGGATTGTTTGCAATGGCCTAATCATGACTAACTTGATAATGTGTTATAAGTGTGAGGGACATTTCCAACATACAGATCATACATGTCCAGATGATTGGGCTGATGATTTGTAGAATCTGAATCAAACATTGTGTTAGTCCACCACACATTCCATGGACACGATATTTTTAGAGGTTATTCAGGGGGCCAAAGCTACAGTTAATGAACCCTTCTCCAATGGTCTATATTGACATATGGATAGATACAGATTAATTCAAAACATAACAATGCATTTTTTTTTTTTAACAATAGTGCTGGGGTCAACACTGGAGTCACATCTGTGGAGGACCTAGGACTGATCCCTGAGGTTCTCCACCAATGATTTACAGTCCATTGCAACTAGATTATGCACACAAATAATTCATTAGTTCAATGCAGCATGTAAGCACAGTCCTGTATATACTTAAGAAATAAAGGCCTTTTCTTTAATGCCTATAGCATTTCAGTTTACAATGTGCTTTAGTGGTGTACAGGGGACATTAAAAGAAACACAATCAATTGAATTAGCACAAAGTGATTGCATAGTGGACCTGGAGCCTGTAGAGCTCCTTGAGGGTCAGGGATGAGTTGCCCATTTTGACCAGTGTGTAATCCAGTATCACTTCCAGGAATATAATGGAGGAAACACTAAGAGTTAGACTCAATTTTTGATTCTAGAAATACCACTGACATGGGTTTGGAGCTGACAGCCAAATAATAGGATATAAAAAGAGACAGAATAATACATTGCTTGTTTTGGTCTTTTCATGGTATTTGTTTCCAGTAAGAAAATAGTAGAATGATACCATGTGTATCCTTCAGATGCACAAAAGACCCCTAGGTTTTCCTAAATTCAAAGGCATTCTATCATCAAACTAAAGGACACTCACAGTCCTACTTAGAGTTATTAAGGCCATGGGTTACTGAACACAGGAACCCAAGAATAGAACATAATTGATCTTCATTTTCACCCCTCAGCTTCTCCTCCATGCACCCATTACATTTCACACATTTGCATATTAATAAGGACAATCTTTCTTTAACTCTCTGAACTCATTGGTACCACAAGGGACAAAAATACACACAGTATGTGCTTATGTATTCATTAAACAACCCCATTTATGGCACCTGTTTTGAAATGAAACTATATTTTCAATTATCCACATATCACTGTATATACGTAGATATCCTAGCAACAGGAGACAAACTGCCTTGAAGACATAATTTTGTTGGTATTAGTACAACCACAGGCTGTTCATCCTTGGCTGTTTGCCTACAAGAGCAGTTATATAATGATGCAATTTGCAACTATATGAGGAATGTCAGGATATGTGTTTGCACATGGCATCACGGGAACTGTAAAAGCAGTGAATGTGGCGACACTTTGCAAAATTGTTGCTCATTGTTCACTGAGGTGACACAGTAGGCTTGTACATGTTTCTGTGATAAATGGACCCCGTGTACAGTATGTGTAATAACGTGCGGTTTTATGACAACCTGTCCTTCAGAAGGCTCCGGATGCAGAGCGAGCTCTCCTTAGAGGAGGCACGCAGGAGATTGCGGACATTGTTCTCACTCTTAATGATTATATGAGATAAATCCTATGAATAGCAATGAAGGCGCTCTCTGCATTTGCATTTCAATCATTATAAAATGATCCTTTCAGAGGACCCCTGTCTTCCGAACTATGAAATGTCACAGACCTACACGACCCCATCAGCTTATAATTACTGCATTTACATACTTGATATAAATACAGTACTTTATATACATTTACAGTATGTTGTGACTATACGATCACGATGGGGGGCAGATTTAATAAGACCTACTGCACATTACTGCCACTTTGTAGAAGATACTGTAGATCAGGGCTATTAAATGACACATTCAACCTGACATGTTGAGCAGCCTGTTAAGAATGTTTTTAACTAGTGTTGACATCAAATGCTAATTAGTACAGAATAGATGCAAAGGTCCTTAACCAAAAACACACTTTCTCCAATATAATATCCAACACGCACACACATACACACTTTTCAGACAGTTCATGCAACTTTACACATATCCATCATCTGCCGCTGTCTTATTGTTGTTGTTTTTGTTGTTGTTGTTGTTGTTGTGGTATAAAACTAACAATCTGTTTATCCTGATCAATCAAGAATCCATAGTCTAACAATAGCAAACCCGTCAGTGCCGAAAAAACAACCGCTTTGGTACCTTTTCATCTTAACAACAATGAACGACATACTTTCGGAAAATAAATGCCGGAATCCTTGGATGCCTCTCTTTATGATTGCCATTCTGCACAGATACAAATACTGGGCCTTTAGACACATATCAATAACCATGTTTTTTCCAAGCATACTTCAGAAACATCCATCTATCCGTCCATTATCTGTACCTGCTCATCGGCTGTGGCTCAGGAGGTAAAGCGGGTCACCCACCAATCAGAATCCAGTCTACTCCAGAGAACAAGTGTCCTTGGATAAGATACTGAACCCTGAATTGCTCCCGAAGGCACCGCCATTGTGGTCGAGTGCGAGTGAAAGAGCGTTAGATTGAATGATGAGCAGTTTAGAACCTGTATGGTAGCCCTGCCAACTGAGTGTTAATGTGTGTGTGAATGGGTAAATGCTTGCATGTATATTAAAAGCCTTTTCAGTTGCTGGGAGATTAGAGAGCGTTGTATAAATGCATGTTCTTTTATCATTTATATTTTTACAAGGTTGCTTCACACGCCAGTATACAGCTTGTCTTTGGACCATGGAAGGTGTAGGAAGTGCAATAGACACATATGATGCATCTCACAAATAAATAAGGCATGTATGCTTTCACATTCTTACAAATGGTTACTTGGTTCCAAAAGCCAATAGAATGCATTTCTAACTAGAAGAAGAAGAAGAAAATGAAGCTATTGTTCCCTTCCCCACCTTGGCAATATAGACATGCCTATGAAGCAATTTGGGGTTAGGTATCTTGCCGAAAGACATGTTAAATGTAGGGGAATGAAGCGCCAACTATCTAATTGGTAGATGCCAATTTACCAAACCCACATCCCTTGAGAAATAAGCGACTTCGTCATGAGCCATTAAAGTGGCAACGGAAGAAAATGACTGCCCAATCATAGTTAAATGTGTGAATGCTGTGGCTAACGCTCCCCACACTGCTTTAGTCAAGTGCTATTCTGTGTAAATGTTCTAGTAATGTGACATGCTTGCTTCATGCTTGCACTCAAGAGGCCCGATGCTAGCTCTGCTCCTGAGGTTTGACCACACTGCAAAACAGGGAATTGACCACAGGAACCAAAGTGTGATGAACAAAGGCTCTTTAAGTTCTTGTTTTAAACCCTGCAGGAAGAGGTGCTGCTTTTAGCATCAAAATAAACATAGGTCTGCAGTGAGGACTCACACTAACAAAGCCCTTACTCTCTTCACTGTTCCAAATACAGCATGCATGGTTAAATATTAAAGTCAACAGATCTATTATTTTACATTAGCACAGAGGAATAAATGTGAGTGGGATTGACATACAACCGGACGTCCAGCTGTGCGCTAATTCTCCCTCAGAGCTCCATTAGATCTCACAACACAATAAATTACTTTAATAGCAGATCCTGCTGCAGCTCACAATGCCTGTTGTTTCTATCCGTCAGCCACATGAGCACAGATCACAAAGGCCTGCAGTGGAAATGACAACAATATGGAAGTGATAACAATGGGAAATGATTACTATTCATGATGCAATGAATCTGCAATGTGATGGTTAAGCTCCAGTGTGTCATGTTTACTTTAAATGGTCAGATAAAATAAAAAAGATTGAAGGTAAAACCGTCTAGATTATTCTCTGTCAAAGCAATTTCCTGCACTTGTCCCCTGACATGTTCCAGGAATCCTCGATATATTTGGGAACATGTCGGAGGAGATTAAGGAGTGATGTTTGCCTTTCCATTTTAAATGACATGACTTTCATCCTGGATGAACTGAGCAGTTTGTTGAGAGTGGACAGAAGCCAAATCCGAGGAAAGGGGGAAATGATTGATTGTGGTACATGAACAAAAATGTTTCTTACATTAACATGTGAAGCTGGGCTCGCTCAGTCACTGTCAAACTGAGAATTAGCATAATGTTCAAATGTCATGTTGGTGTGAATCGTACACCTGGAAGAGCATCTCTGCTTAAGATGGCGAAGGAATGCAGCATCAGCTTCAGAACGAGTCAAAGATAAACTGCACTGGAGGAAGATGTCACACTTTATAGAAATATATATGCATTAGAGGTGGATTTACAATCACCCCTGGTACAAAAGCAGTGCAAACCTGAGCAAATGGCCGAATTAATCTGTCTAATCTTATATTTTCCACTATGATACTTTTATTCTTCCATCCCCATGGGTTTAGGTTTAAACTCACTGTGGACATGATTTAATCTCAGAGCATGTCTGTGCATAACAACACACACAAGGTCATCCCGTGTGGAGCTGCAGAACATAGACAGAGCCCTGCCGTCTGCATGCCACCCAGTGTGAGCACCAACTGGAAATCACAGCATTAGCAGCAGTGTGGCTGTGAAAAAAAATCATGCATACCATAAACCTTATTCAACACCCCCCCCCCCCCCCCCCCCCCCCCCCTTTTTTCGTTTCCCTGACAAAACCCACACTTCCAGATATCTACACCCCCATCTTGTGGCTGCTTGTATAGCGATGCGCGCACAGAGCCTCTGCAGAAAAAGAGTTGGAAACGCAGGTGTGAAACCGGTTTCAATGCTTTACCATGTAAAGGGATGCTCTTTGTGTCGCCACAACACCACCACCAGCTCCACCAGCAGCAGCTGCACTGCCTCTCCAACAGCACAAAGTTAACCGAGCTGTTGCATCCAGTCTGCACTGATTTACACTCTTCATAAAACGCGTCATCACCATCAACATTTACGTGAAAAGTGAAAGTGCGCAAGAATGAGCCTCTGCAGACAAAACAACTCTCCATTGTTGCTAATATTTCCTAATAAGTCAGAATACATGGCATCCGTGTAAAGTGAATATATTCCCTGTGCTCATTTTTCATGACACTGACGCGCGTCCGGACATGGAAAGGAGGAGCGCCTGAAAACGCACAAAGGTCCAGCCAGTGTTTTCCTGCTTGAAGGGGAAAGCTCAGCATCTCAGCATCTCAGCCCCCCTTGGCAGCACTCACCTCAGCCCGGGTCTCCACCGGCTCCCCCTCCTTCGTCAGTCCCGACTCGAGTCCAAACACACGGCTAAAAAACCCAGTAAAGTCCAGCCTCCTGCTCCGCAAATCCAAAGTAAGAAGTCCTGACGTGCTGAAGGCAGCGCAGCTATGCCTCCTGCCTGCGCCCGTTTGTGTGCGCGCGCGTGTGTGTGTGTGTGTGTGTGCACGCGTGTGTGTGAGGAGAGAGGGGGGGGAGATGCGGCTTTATCAGCACAGAAGATGTTTCAATGAGTCATTGCAGAGGCTGTGGAAACGCAGCTGAATCTAATTGCTCTCATAGAGCGAGTGTGTTGCGAGGACAAGATTAGTGTTAGAGAAACCAGGTCTCACTCCCCCCTCCTCCCTCTGTCTCTCTCACTCTCTCTCCCCCCTTGCCTGTCTGTTTCTCTCACTCCCCTATCTATTTCTCTTTCTCACTTTTTCCCCTCTTTCTCCATCTCTTCCCTTCTCTCTCTATTTATCGTTCTCTTTCTCTCACCCCCCCCCCCCATCCCCTCACCTCTCCAGCTTGCCATTGGACTACACCTCCTGAAATGTACTCCGCCTGCAGCCAATAGATTGCCGCATTCTCTCCATCACCTGCAGCCGCGGTGTTGTGGCAGCTCTGGCATGCAGCATGGAGCATGGCAGGGAGAGGGAATGGGGGGTAAAGGGGGGCTGAGTCTCCCTCTTCGTCCCTCTTCCTCCCAGGAGCTCTGGGAGCAACAGCACGCACCCATGAAGATAAACAGAAGAGTTCAGTGTTGGTTATATCATATGCATGTGATGGAAGACATGTGGACAAAATTGGCTCCAGAGCTTATAAAAAGTAACGAAGTACATTTACTTGAGTACTAAGTACGGTACTTCACATGAGTGTTGCCATTTATATTTCTACTCCATTAATTTTGGGGGTGAATATTGTGCGTTTTACTCGTCTACATTTATTTTTAGTTGCCTTAGAATAGATCACTATACTTCAATGTGAATTGTGATGCGCAGTTACGGATTGACCTACTATTAAAAAGTGTCATTAAAGTTAGCACCACCTTTGCAAGATGCAACAAAATGATTAATGATTCATTATAATCCAATATTATGATGATATATTATTCAGAAAAGCCAGTCTCATAACGAGTTGTTGTAAATGTACCTCTTCCAGCTCTGGATAAAGGTCTCCAAATAGTGTTATTGTTGATCTGTGTTGTCTTAAATGTAGCAAATAATAATGATGTGTGAAAATTGCTTACATTTTTCTCCGACATTGGTAAATCGCCACAAAACTGGGCTCGGGCATTTGATGAAAGTGACAACAGATCTGTCTGTTTAGAACTGTGTGCTTCTGCAGGGTTTCTGTTTAAAACAAAGCATTGTTAGTAAAAACAAAAAAAGTGCTTTTAACACCAATTACAGACACAGAGCAGACAGAAAATCTATTGTTTCTTACAGCCGAGTCTCTTACAAACAACACAGAATTAACGTGTCATCTCGGACAGACTTCTGGCACCTTATAGCGCCTGCTGCTTCCTGCTGTGACCCCGCGTCATTATCTGCACGACCACAAGAGGTCACCTTACAGGAAATAATAATTACAGGTCGCTTTGAACAAACAATCAATACTGCGGTCTTTCTGTAAAGGACAGATGTTCTAACATACAGGTGTTTTCACCAATTAAACAACATGGACTATCCTCTGATCATCCTGGGACGTCACAGATTGACACTGAAGTTGCGCATTTAACAACTTTAAGACCCTTATGGTTTAAATAAGGGCTATTCAAGTGATGCTGATTTACTGACGTCAATATCCCAATGTAAGTCAATGGGAAAAATTACAAAAATGATGCCAACATTTGGCCATTACGTACATTTGCTACTCAATCCTGAAGGCTTTGGCTCCAGGACAACGTGATGCTCAACCTTAAAAATGCAGCATTTTTTCCACATGCTTAAAGTCTTCGTGATGTTCCCCTACCCCTTTTTGCTTTTCTTATAGAAGATGTAAATCTTAAGACGTATGCAATTCACATATTTTTTATCTCAAGAAAGCAGCGACCAGCAGATTCACAATCTGCAGAACTCATCCTTTCCCCTCAACAGTCTGCATTTAAATTGAGATAATGATACAAAGCTGGAAATGGATGCTTCCGAAGTTGAAATGGGATTGCCTGAGATATCAAGGTCATATCGAATCTACACAAATAAAATCATGGATGTTCCTTGTGGGGGAAACTTCTGAAGCAATTGGAATCAGGACTCAGAGAGACACGAGGAGAGCTGGAGCTTTGATGGCAAACACTGACGGTTTATTTGGAGCTTCGGCCGGAGAATTCACAAGACATGTCACGGGCCACGGTTTGACCACACGGTTGAGATGCCACAATCAATTCTGAATAACTCTACCCCAGACCCATGTATTTAGTTCAGAGAGAATAATCAACATTGTGCATAACAAGATAGAAGCATAACACCTCTGCTGACGCCAACAGGCAGGAACAAGGAGACAAAACATTGAGAGCACAGCAGCCAAGGTTACAGGTGCGTGTGCTCAGTCAGGACAGTTTAACCTGATAAACTGGGTCAAAGTTATGGACCTTGGAAATGATTTCCCCAACATTCCTCATGGTGGTGTGAGTGACGGCGGCCTGCAGCAGGACTGAAGAGGAGAGGAGCCTGAGGACGAGGCAGAGCGCTGCAGCTAGCCTCCCTTTGATGACCATGATTTATTCCCTCTCCCCACATCAGAACCCTCAGCGGTGGGGGGTATCCTCCTCCCTCTGAAGTATCTATCAGCCTCAGTCAGCAGCTCGGCCCACATTGACTCGGTGACTTTCATGAGAGCGATGAGGGGACGTCACTGCTGCCAGGCTGAAGCCAAATCAAATGTTGAGTAGGATTACACATCCACCTGCAACCTGTGGCAGCGCGCCTCTGAACACGACACGTGACCTTTCTCCCCCCGCTGCGGGATGGAACTGCCACGGACGATTTCATCACCCAAAATACAGCCAGGTTTGAAATCAGAGAAAATTACAATATAAAGCCTGATATAAATAAAGTATTCTGGTTTTCACTAGACCATCACTGCCATTTAAACGTCTACACCTGTCAAACACAACTCTTTCAGTGTGTACCTGAGATTTATCTTCTACATTTGAACTCAAACTGACGACATCACTATCAGAATTAGTTAGCATTAGCAGTTTACAGATTGCTCAATTAACCGAAAAGTTAACAATGGTTTCTCTCAAAGACCAGTGATACGCAAATATTACACAATACCACGTGAATAACTATAGTGCTGTGTTTATAGAAGCGAACACAAACGTGGCTAGTCGAAGTGTATTTTGCCATACTTCGCATTGGGATGCACTTTTGCACCTAAATCAGAATAAGTAGCAGAAGCATTTGAGACAATATGGAGTGTGTATATGGAAGGAGTGTGTGGCCATGTGCACTCCTGCAGAACGATGAGGCTGTCAGACCTGCAGACGTTCAGCAGCTCCACAAGTCGGGGGCAAGAAGTGTGCCGTTTAATGCTTCACAGAGGACAAGGCGCCTCTGATGATTTAGACAAACAGTGGCAGTCACCACATGCAGAGAGACAGATACAGGGGGAGTGTGTGTGGGAGGGGGGGGGGGGTCAGAGACGGCAAGGACTCCGCCCTTCCTCTGTGTTTAAGCACAGACAATCCCTGTCGCCTCGGGGTAGCACAGATAGGCCTACATAAAGGCAGTATAGGGACCGCCGAGGCATGACGGTGGAGCTCTTCAGGAGCAGATAGCTCTCTGCTGAAGACGTGGACAAGTCGGAAAAGATTTTTCTTCCAGTCTTTAACCATGATCTTTAACAGTCTACTTCAGGGGCGTCGCCTGGACCTGGAAACATTCGGGGCTTAGCCCACAGTGGTGGCGCTACAGTCAAATGTTCGACTGCAAGACTCCCCACACGCACATACACAATTGCGCCATCTGGTGTCACAAACGTGTGCCTGCATTAGCTTTGTTACGGCAATGGATTGTGGGAGATTCTCATAGCACGTGAGGATCTCTTGAGGGTAAGGTGCCTGTATTATCTCGGTGGACAAAATGTATGTTTTTATTTTATAAGGACAATAACGTACTAAATAACGTACTAAATAACGTGCTAAAGCCCCGGATGCCTACCCCAGGCGACGCCCCTGGTCTACTTCACAAAATAAGCATACTCTGCCAGTCAATGCGGGTCACTCATCTGCTGCTGAGCGCTCAGAGACTTATGCCCCGGCCACACGAGGACAAAAACGGCCGTTTGCGTTACTGTTTAGTGTCATATAGACCATTCGGCCACACGAGGACGACCGCATACGGCACTAAACGACTGAGGAAACGATAACGGGTCCCAAGGTGGATAGAACGGCATACGCAACGCTCTGGGGGGTCAAACAGCTCCGTGTGTGCGCCCTATACGATCATTTTCTGATAATGATTGCGCAATAGCCCCGCCTCTCCCCACCTCTGCTGCTCACCTCCGCGTACCCCGCGCCATTGCTGATGTGTTTCGCCACCAACAACAACAACAATGGCGGATCGCAGAGTTGCTATCGTGCTCCGGACGCTACTGACCATCCTACAGTTCTTTGTGCAACATCTACAGCAGACTTACACATCCGGGGGGGATCTTACTCGTTGCTTTTGTGGATATGTACTGCAGCTTCAGCGATCATTTTCTGATAATGATGAGGCAATAGCCCCACCTCTCCCCACCTCTGCTGCTCACCCCCGCGTCAAAGTAAACTGCACACTGAATTCAGATTATTTATCTTTCTCTCGATATGGACATAAACGCGAGTGAAGTCTAATCTGACAGGACGGAGACACCTCTCAAACTACCTAAACTAGTTATAAATATGTTTATTTTTACTGTCGGCCGGATCAGCTGCTGCATGAGACAGACACTGACGCTGTCCGAAGAGAGGGAGGAAAAAGAGAGGCTCCGTGTATTTTTATTATTATATTATATAGAGTCGTTATTCATTTGTTTTAAAGCTCAATAAATAACAAAGAAGACCTTTGACCGGCACTTTTATAATTTTGTCGGAAGGTTTAAACTTGAATACACGTTGACTGGCGAAAAACTCTGCCCGGTTCCCTCGGCCCCCACCGCGGAGAATAAACAGAAGGGCAACCATGACAACCATGCTTCTTCGCTGCTTTTGTGGAGGAAGTTACAGCGTCACGTACAGGCTCCTGCATATGTACTGCAGCTTCTCCAGCGGTTGGAGCTAAACGGAGCGGTCTCGTGTGGGCAGACACTATCCGGATAACTATTGCGTGTGGACGGAAGCTTGTTTGCGATTGCGTTTGCGTTAATCCTATGCGTTTAGCCGTTTTCGTCCTCGTGTGGCCGGGGTCTTAATGC